ATCTAACGCTTACTGTGGCGAAGCATGTTGCATATTTTCTGCAGCTCAAATTGGCCTTCCGTGGCCCCTCTCTGTCTGTTATGTAAGCATTAAGGATTATAATGTGTGTTGGTTGTGCTGTGGAATGTGCTTCAAACCAACATTTGATGAGGATTACGCTCTAATGTATGAAGCTCTGCTGCTGTGGGTGGGTGTAGGTTGGTTGTTTAAGTATGTAAATACATATAGCGGTTATTATAGCGGATTTTGCAAAAGGGTATTTCAAAAGATAGTTAAAACGAGAAGGAACGGTTTGAGACGCTGGAACGCGTCACAACTTTTATATGTACCCGGTACTCAGTCATTATTTCCATATGTATCAAAGTGTATGTATGTATGTATGTATCCAGCTTCTACATAGAATCTGACTTAAAGTTCAATTATTTCTTCTGTTTTCAAAGAAATATTCTCAATTTTAGAAAGAATTTTGGTAGAAATGTTACATTGTTTCATTGTGATTGAAAATCTATAACTTTTCTTCAGAAACCTTTAGAGGTGGCTCTTGAGGTTAACTTAATATCCGTCTGCAACATAATAAACGACTCTAGAGTGGAAAAATATACATATCTAAATTCTCAAAGCTGCCAACTTTTCGCCAAAATAAAACGGTTTGCTCCCGGCTTGGTTCCGCCCAAAAACATTCTCTAGGGAATTAATCACAAACTCCTCTTCGTCAGTCACGCACGTACCACCCAAAGCTAACAAAATGTTGAACCCAAGAGCCCCAGCAGTTGCCAATTCAATAGGGGATGCCTTCGTCCCCAATTAGAGCGCCCTATCAGCAACCCTCTAGTCCAAAGCGAGCAGCCCTTTGTGGGGGTGCTGTGTGTGCAGTCGTTAACCGTAAAAGCAGATCCCCAAAAAACCCGAAGAAAAAACCCTCCTACACTCCACTCCGCTCTCTCCTCTCTCTTCCTATTCGCTTTCATGTTACGCATAATTGAAACGAAGTTCCCCATTCAGTGAGCAAAACTTCTATGCAACGTGTGGAAACAATCCACCACCAAAACAAAAAAGAACACTGGGTGACTGGGGGTCTGTTTACTGTGGACTGGGGGTATGTGTGTGGCATTGTCGTTTGGGTATAATGCCCCACAAAGCATGTCAATGTCATGAATATTATTGACATGGATTTTTGTATCCACAGATAGCTCTTTCATAGACAGACTGGAGGGGGACTCAGGCGATGTACTCTTTTTTAGGGGACGCATTTCCGCAGAACGAACCAACAACAAAGAGCTGTGAAGGTCAACCCCTTTTTGCCAAAGCTTAGAGCGGAGCGGGAGAGAGAGAGAGAGGGAGTTTTTGTTCTGCTTTTTTGTTGTTTCTGTATCGTTGAAGTTGCTTTCGATGGCCTGTCAAAGTCAAAAGTCTGATAAAAATCGATAAACGACAGACGGCAATGTCGGAGTCATGTAGATATGTACTCTGGCTTGGAGGCCCAACCCGGTTGTCTGTTCTGTCTATAGAGCGGGTTCTTGGCCATCAGTCGCTTGGCCTGAACCGAACTGAACTCCACTCACTCCCTCCGCTAGCCTGTGCTATGTGCCTGTCTCTGTGGTATGCCGTTTTTGGTTTATTTCAGGGGCTTGTCAAATTGCAAACTAGCAATAATGCTGCAATCCAGCAATGCAGCAACTCGAAATATCTCTTGGTATGCAGTTTCAGTTCTTGTCGTAATATGTCATGGCTCCCCCAACCCGTAATGCGATAGGCGGCGCTACAAGAAGTCTCAGGTGGAGTGCAGTGGGGGAATGGGAATGCTAATTGCCCTGGCACCAAAAGAGCAAAATACTATTAAGTAAGCGTAATTAGATCATGGCTAAATGTTGCAATGCTGAAAGTATGTATGCCCTGGAGGGTACACTGATCTCATACCTTGGCCAAACGATAAGAGCGGTCGAGTGTCATGTACATTTAAGTGGGAGTGTTGGAAAAATCCAGATAGTGTTGAACAGTCAAAGGTGTTGGTCAGCTAGAAATAGTGGAGGCTGTTTGAAGACTGAAGTCTGTAGTGCCATTTCTAAGCTGTACCTAGAAGGATACATACAAATTCAGAAGGTTAACTCAAGATAGTCATCCAAGGGACCCTGTTGTCATTTTGCATACATTTTGTGCCACAAAATGTGGTCCTCCCAAGGGAACTGCTGCCTTCATTAGGCCCCATCCAAGGCCAAACCCAACGACATCGTCGCCCATTCAATTTGCATTCCATCAACCATGGGACCGTTACCCCCACAGATGCATACACATACATACCTACACACACATGCACGTGTGGATATGTCGTTGTACTCCAAGTACAATAACACTTCCGCCTGAAAGTGCTCGTACTCCATTGCGAACATGTGTGTGTGTGGGGGGTACAGTTCTATCCAGACAAAAAACAGAAACAGAACACAAGAGAGATGAGCAGAGAACAGCAGCAGAGTAGAGCGGAGAAGGCATCATCAAAAATCGCTTGGCTGCATTTGTTGTCGGCCCTTGAGTGGCCTCCTCAGTCCCCTCCACGGTATTTCCCCCGAAAAGAAAGAACTTGAAATCAGCCAAAACCAAATGCTCTCTCACATGCGTCGCTCACTCACCCACACAACTGCAGCAGCTGAGAACGATACTTGATTTGAGTGAGACAGACAGAGACAGAGAGTAGGATAGAGAGCGGCACTTTAATATAAAACAATTGTTGTTTGTTTTCTTTTTGCTAAACTCTCTCGGTGCTTCTCTCTCTCTCTTTTGTCTACTTGCCTATGATTATTTATTCTGAACCCAAAAAAAAAAACGAAAATCAGGAGTAAATACTAGCAGCAGACTTTTGATACCCTGTCCGTGATATAAGCTTTAACTATGTACAGTCTGAATGTACAGTATGTAGTCTGAATGGCATTTTATATTTTTACACTTTATAAGATCGATCCTGTTCTGTAGCACTGTCGAAATATTCTCAGAATCATCATACCTTCGCGAAGGGTGTGTACGAAAGAGCAAAGCAAAAAACTGACGCACGCTCTGCTCTCTTCTCTTCGGCTTGTCACCCTCCCTCGCGGCGTTCGACTGTTGTCCGCGCATGTGTTGCGTCTTTGTGTATGCCTATGTGTGCGCGCCTTCGTCGACTTCTTCGTGGTTTTGCTTCGTCGTCGTCTCCGTCGCCTCAGTCGCTGGCGTGGTTGTTGTTGTATGCAAGGTCGTTTGCGTACAAATTTCAACATTATTTGAAGGTCGTCCTTTGCCCGTTCTGCGCGTCGCTTCTTACTCGTTCTTTCTCTCAACGTTTCCTACTCCACTCGGTCTCTCTCTTCCTCTCTCTCACTGCTCTCTCTTTCGCTGTCTTTGCTGTCTGTTTCTTTGCATGCAATGGCTTGGCTCAAGAAAGATTTTTTTCTCCCCATTTAGGGTCGTGCGAGTTCGTTCTTGTTGGATTCTGTAATTTCCTTAAATTATTGATTCTTGTGCAATTGGAAAATAGTCTGCAGCGGTTATTATACATATTTTAATAGGATTCCAGTTAAGGGGGTGTGCGCAGAATTTGTATAGAGGGAGAATATTCTTATTTTCTCGAGTAATTAAGCGCTTAGAAGTAGACTTCTTATCAGAACTATATTAATACAGGTTGACACACATGTCATTTTAATTTTTATGCTTGAAAGAACTTTAAAGAAAATTCGACCAATTCCGTTTAACCAATTTTCAATGAAACAATTTATGAAATCATTTTTTAAATAGGGGCTCCTATACAAAAATCCCTCTTACCTACACCCCTGCATTTAGCAACCGCACCCGCACCCGCACCCCTTTTAATACCAGGTGTGGCCTCGCCCTTGGCCCTGCCGAAGAGCTGCCATGCCACGATATCCCCCACCACAATCTGCGTAGCGTCGTTGGGTTAATGTACCTTAAATTTATTATAATACCATCGGCTTGTGTGCCTCTCCATCGCTCTCTCCCCAGTTCCCTCTCTCCACTTTGCAATCCATCGCATCGCCCTCCTCCTCCCATTGTTGGGTCGTTGACATTTTTCGTTGGGCTGCTGGCCATTGCCCATAGTTGTGTATTGCTTAAGCTATTGTTCAAGTGGTAGACCAAACCACGAGAACGAAACAACGGGCCAGAGTGAGTGAGAAGGTAGAGCTGATGATAAGAATTGAATGAATGTAATATACGCATCAGAGAGAGAGAGAGAGAGCGACAGAGAGAGTACATAGCGGGAGTATGTTGGTGTGCTCTGCCACGGCATAACCTCAATTAACATAAGTGGCCGTTCGTTGAATGCTCTACGGGGGCGGGCACGCTCGGGCCAAGGTCGCTTCAGGGTGGGTGGATGTGGATGCATAAGTGGTAGCATTGACCCTATTGTTGTCGTCGGGGTTTATTCAGATCCTAAATAAGTAGTGGCTCTCTCTTTGTGCTTGTTGCCAAGCAAATCTCTAGGAGGGGGCGGAGTATCCAACACTGACTCATTGCCAAAAGGTTGTAGAAACTTTTATTTAATTAACATAAAGTGGGGAATTTGCCAAAGCTATGAGGCAATTAAAACGTAAACTTGAAAAATGTTTGGGAATTTTATTGGATTTTGTATTTAAGAGCTGGCGGACCCATAGGAAACCACTTTTTTAAATTCTTTGATTTTCATTAATTAAAAATTAAATATTTATTTACCTGGTGCTCATAGTTTATACAGAGTAAAGGGTACACAGATTCGATAGAGCCATGATGCACTTTTTATGTGCCTCGAAAAAAAAACCTTTTTTTGACTGCGTACCGGGTATAAAAGTAGTGAAGCGTCTCACAACGTTCCTTCTCGATTTTTGTCAAAGAAGAAATGAATAGAATTTTATTAATACATTTTAAGAATTTCATTAATTTTTAAGTTTTATAATATTCAAAATAAGTTAATTGTTTTTAAGTCATTAAATAATTTAAAAACCCTTAATAATTAGCATTTCTCTCTCTTTAAATCTTTGCAGTTTTACAACACAATGGAACTGCATCAACGACATCTCTCCAATTTTTACAAATTGCAAAACTGAGAAATAAAAGTCTTTTTGATACTATATAGAATATTTGGATAAGAGAGGAAGGGAAGATACTCCCCTCCCGCCAGCAAATCCATTCAAAGTGGATGCCCTGATAAGTGCAGCAAAAGGTGACAGCAGTCATGCCGAACATGTCTAGCATTAAGGCTGAGCAGCAGAGTGCCCCAATGGGGGGCACGGGCAGCTATCAACTGCCCGTGAATATGTGCACGAGCAGCAGCGCCACGACCACGACGACGACACCATCACGTCACAATGTGTCCGTGACGAACATTAAATGTGAACTGGAGGAGCTTCCCACGCCGAATGGCAATCTGGTGCCGGTCATCGCCAACTACAATCATGGCAGCCTGAGGATACCGCTCAGTGGGCAGCCGCACAACCAGCAGGACCAGGAGGAGTCCGATTCCGAGGCGGAGCTCACGAATATCGAGAACCTAAAGGTGCGCCGGCGAGCGGCGGATAAGAACGGCCCACGGCCCATGTCCTGGGAGGGAGAACTGAGCGAACCCGAGGAGAACGGCGTCAGCGCCGGGAGTGGAGGTGCAGAACTGATGGAAACGGAGACGGTAATCAAGAGTGAGGAGTGCACCACATCCACGCCCATTCAGGCGGCGTCCACCACCTGCCCCACAATGCAACCGATCAAAACGGAGCTGGATAACATTGCCGGCGAGCTGCAGCATCCGCGAAGCAACGCCTATCCGGTGTCCAGCTGCAATGGTCCCGCCAAACTGAAGCTGGCACCCACCCAGAGCGATCCGATCAATCTCAAGTATGAGCCCCCCCTGGGGGACAACAACTCCCCTCTGTTGACGACGCGCAACAAGTCGAACAGTGGGGGCCACCTGCCGCTGCCCGCGAATCCCAGTCCCGACTCTGCCATACATTCCGTCTACACCCACAGCTCACCATCGCAGTCGCCGCTGACGTCGCGGCATGCCCCATACACGCCGTCGCTGAGTCGCAACAACAGCGATGCCTCGCACAGCAGTTGCTACAGCTACAGCTCGGAGTTTAGTCCGACCCACTCGCCGATTCAGGCTCGGCATGCCCCACCGGCCGGATCCATGTATCCGGGCAGCGGATCAGCGGGAGGAAACGGCGCAGGCAGCAGCTATGGCAATGGTGTGCATCATCATGGCATGCTCTACAGGCCGCTTAAAGTGGAGGCCACCTCAACGGGCGGATCGGTGGGTGGTGGTGGCTCCTGCAGCCAGGAGTCGGCACAAAATCTCAGCATGGACTCTGCCTCCAGTGCCATGGATCCGCTGGGATCCGGCTCGTTGCCCGCCTCCCCGGCTGGCATATCCCGCCAGCAGCTGATCAACTCTCCGTGTCCGATATGTGGCGATAAGATAAGTGGCTTCCACTATGGCATCTTCTCCTGCGAGTCCTGCAAGGGTTTCTTTAAGCGCACCGTCCAGAATCGCAAGAATTATGTGTGCGTTCGCGGTGGACCCTGCCAGGTGAGCATTTCCACGCGAAAAAAGTGCCCCGCGTGTCGGTTCGAGAAGTGCCTGCAGAAGGGCATGAAACTGGAGGCCATACGCGAGGATCGCACGCGTGGCGGTCGTTCAACCTATCAATGCTCCTACACGCTGCCCAATTCAATGTTGAGTCCGCTCTTAAGTCCGGATCAAGCGGCGGCAGCCGCTGCGGCAGCTTCAGCGGTCAATCATCAGCACCAGCATCAGCATCAGCACCAGCAACATCATCAGCATCAACAGCAGAGACTACATCAGCAGATGAATGGCTATTCGGGTTCCACATCACTGCCAGCGAGTCCCAGTCTGGGTGGAGCATCCATCAAAACAGAGGAAAACGATGCCCAGACGTTAAGAGCGAGCAGTATTCCAACGCTATTGCAGGTGGGTTTTCCAAGATACTTTCCTTAGATGATCCCTCGACTAATGTTTTCTCTTTTTTTCACAACAGGAAATCATGGATGTTGAACATCTTTGGCAGTACACCGATGCAGAGCTGGCCCGCATCAATCAGCCATTGTCCGCCTTTGCCACTGGTGGCAGCTCCTCATCATCATCGTCATCGTCGGTCGCATCAACGGCACCACACCAGAGCCATCAGCAGCAGCAGCAACAGCAACAGCATCAGCAGCAACAATTGACGAATCCACTGCTGGCCAGTGCTGGTCTCTCATCCAATGGGGAGAATGCCAATCCAGATCTGATTGCACATCTCTGCAATGTGGCCGATCATCGTCTCTATAAGATTGTCAAATGGTGCAAGAGTCTTCCACTTTTTAAGAACATTTCGGTGCGTAAATATGGTTTCATTTCGGGTTTTGAACGGAACACTATAATAGCATCGTCTGTGTCTCTTTTTTCAGATTGATGATCAAATTTGTCTGCTCATCAATTCGTGGTGCGAACTGTTGCTCTTCTCCTGCTGTTTTCGTTCGATTGATACGCCCGGCGAGATAAAGATGTCACAAGGCAGAAAGATAACACTATCACAGGCCAAAACGAATGGTCTTCAGGTGTGTGATTTTTGCCATAAATACCAACTCTTTCTTTTTTATAATTACTTTTTAGGAAGTTGTATATCATTTAGTGCATTTAGGCGTATTCTTTGAATTTTTAGGAGTGGTGAAATCAACCAAAGCTGCTATTACATTTTATGTAAGCTTTTAGACGGAAAAGCGAGTCTGACAAAGAAAATAAACATAGCCTTTGAGTCCTATTGAATGTATTTTTTAATTAGACAATTAAATATAGGTGTATTTTTTATATTTGTTAATAATTCAAAGACTTTGTTTACTTTTATCTGTATTTCTCCTGAATGTGTATCTGATTCATTTATATGAGCTCCGCATTTATTGTTCCGTTTTAAACTCAATTGAAAGCTCTTGTACGAATTTTTGCAATAACATTCCCACGAATATTAGCTGCCTCTCTCTCTCTCTCTCTTTTGTTCAGTCAAGCAGGGATTCAATTCAGTAATTTGTTTAATTTATTTATTTTTGGACTTCTCATCTTATAAATACGAAGTTTCAAAAGAAATCCGACGGGTATTCCCACCATTTTTAGATGTTTTTATTCGCTTTTATGTTTTCGGAATCATTCAGAAACTTAGGAAATATCTTTCCATTGCTCCTTCCATTTGTAATTCTCTTTGAACTATCTATCCTCTAATTGATTAGGCTCTTTTCTCCCAGTAGAAGTACATTTTCTTAAGGTTACATTATGTTTTGTTTATTAACAACCCATAAAAATAATCCCCATCATACAAATTAATTCCTTTTAGACCTGCATCGAACGCATGCTCAATCTGACGGATCATTTAAGGCGCCTGCGCGTGGATCGCTACGAATATGTTGCCATGAAGGTGATAGTGCTGCTGCAGTCAGGTAAGCCTCAAAACATGTCCATTCAAACTCCGATTTAATACCCTAACTATTCACCAGATACCACAGAGCTGCATGAGGCGGTAAAAGTGCGCGAGTGCCAGGAGAAGGCATTGCAGGGCCTGCAGGCCTACACGCTGGCCCACTATCCGGATACGCCCTCAAAGTTTGGTGAGCTGCTGCTGCGCATACCCGACCTGCAGCGCACATGTCAGGTGAGTGTTTCACTGGAATACCCTTTGAAAAACAATGGATTCGCTGACACTCCCATTTCCAACAGCTGGGCAAAGAAATGCTGACGATCAAGACACGCGATGGAGCTGATTTCAATTTGCTGATGGAGCTATTGCGCGGAGAACATTGACAATTGTTGGCGGCGACGAAGTTTTACATATTTAGTATTAGATATATCTATTGTAGGGTTAAGTGCTCTACCTATAAGCTCTGAAAACATGTGCCTAAAAAACCCAAAGCCACAACAGCAGTCGTTGCCGCAAACGGGGAACCCCGATCACGATCCCTCCTCGAGCATTGACCCAAAACCTATGCGCAAAATTGCCAAAATTTTTATACACGAATTATACATAAGTATGTACAAGTATTTTGATATCTATGAGGAATGCCATATGCTTGGAGGGAATATTCGGAATCGCCCCCGCGCGTGCATCCCACCTGCTCGTTGCTGGCTTATGAGTTTTCCAGTAAGAAGGAAAAAGAAAATGGATAAAAAGTATATAACGTTTTTCGCTGTATATGAATGAAATATATACCGATGACTTATGTATAGAGTAAACTAAAGCACACAATGGAAAATGAAAAGACTAAGAAAATTTATTTAAAAAATTACTATAAACAAAAACAACAACAAAAAGGCAGTAACAAAAAATGCAAAATCAAATTTAAATTTAAGTTTAAGCAGCTAGCTACTTTTTGTATACATACATAAAAAACTTATATAAAACTATTTATATAAATGCCAAAACCAATTTGGTTTGATAGAAGAAGAGCTGCTAGAATTTTCGATAAATATATATATATATCTAGTATATATATACATTTACATATATGTATAAATCTTTGTATGTAAATGAAGTCCAAATGGGATGTTCAATTTTTAAATGTTGTAGCATTTAGTTATAGTGCAATTTCACACATGTCTACTTATAAACTATATATATATATTATAGTTATATATATTTAGATATATGTCATAAACCTATGTCTTTAGCCAGATATGGCCACAAAACTATATACATACAAGAACACAGACAAAAGACCACTCGAAACAATGCCAGGTAGGTTGTTCAGCTGCTGGCAACCAACAGACTATTCCAGTGATGCTATATGTTGCATAAAAAAATCAACACACCCAACTCCAAGCCCCAACATAACTACATAAATCAAATTTATATTTTCCCAGATTTTGCATCTTAGTTTATTTTTTTCCATTATAATTATTTTTATTATTTGTGTAATTTTTTACTTAAATAGCTGAAGCAAATCCTGCAACAGGATTTAAAACATTTTAAAATCGATACAAAATAACTACATTAAATAATTTTTTGCATATTTGTATCTTTAGTTAGATAGATGTATGTCTAGCCCCTTCCGGCATATGTATGTACATATGTATATGTATGTCTTTATGTGTATGTGTGTGCGTGCGTGTGTGTATGTTAAATATAAAAGTACTTCCAGACCCCCAGCCCACCAGCAAAAAAAAAACAAAACAAAAGATAGAGGAGATACCAATGTAATTCCAATTTAAATTAAATTCTGTATAACTAGCAGAAAATGAGAAAAGAGAGACACAAAAATCCGTGAAAATACATACTTAAAAGTTAAGGGCAGAAGAAGGCTGAAAGGGAACTTGAAGAGAGGCAGAGAATTATATTACATCGTTTTCCAATGATTTTAAATTTTAAATTATTATTGTTTTTGATTCTAAACCCTTTTAAATGGTTTATTTTATTTTGTTGTATACCCTAAATATTTTATTTAGTTAGAAAAACTTAAACTAATTTTAATGTATTCCAAAACGAATTTTTCTTTTAACCAAATTACGATTAACTTAAAAAAGATCCCATGGGCCCACCTCCTGCCCTTTCTTCCTGCTGCTGTCCGTAAATGTAAACTAAAAATAAAACAAAATTGCAACAAATAGTTAAAAATGTTAATTTAATAACGAAAGAAATGCTTCAACTAAATATCAATACAATGTTTACCCATAGTTAAATGCAATTATTTAAGCAACAAATCAAATCAAAATTAATTTATAATTTCCTGTAGCAAAAACAAACTCATACCAAAAACAAAAAACACAAAAACCAGGCAGGGGCAGATTTTAGGAGCATTTTTTGATACGCTGATAGATATTTTTCTACTTAAGTGAATCGCTTAAGTAGTGAAAAGTGTGCTCAAAATTAAGCATAAATTAAAACGAAGCAGAGAGTTTTATTTGTGTGAATGATGTTTGGATTTTTGCTACTGTATACTCATCCCATAGTGAATATATCATTTCATATTCTGTTTTGTTTGAATGGAAACATAATTGAATTTCAAGAATGGAACCAACAACAATTAAACATAAAATGTCAATGCAATATTTTGTAATAAAAAAAAGATCACACTTGCAGTGCGACAATTAAATCGTGTAAAATGTGAGATTTGTTTTTATTTTTGTGATCATTTAATGTGGGGCACAAATTGTATATTGAATTGTTATACTTTTGTGTAGAAGACTTAAAGTCTTTCAATTTTCCTTTTCATGAAGGACATGACAAGGAAAAACTTTCCTGAGAGCACTTGTCATTCAAGATAATGAGGAATACCTATCGAAATCACCGAGAACACATTGAATTATAAGGCATACAGTTCCCAGATGAGTGTATATTTATTTCTTCTTATTTCTGTATATCCATTTATTTCCTATGTGAGATAATGTTCCTATTAATTTACCTTTCGATTACTGTTGCACAATCTGCACTTAAATCGCTGCCTTTTACATACAAAAAGTATTATATCTGCCGCAAGGATACGAGTTACAATAACCCGGACTGCGAAGAGAGATCAACACATCAAATGGAGTTCAAAAATCATCAAGCAAAATCATGGCGGATTGATTTTCTTACCTGAGCTGTGCCAGTGGATATAAGCAGCAAGACTGACAAGTTGGACCGCAGGCGGGCTGATGACTAACGCAGCACGATGGTGGTTCCGTGGAGAAGCTGCAGCCAAAAGCACAATTATTGCTGCAGGGTCCGCAGCCACCGCCCACCGGCAGATCTGCGCAGAGGCAACTAATGCCATTGGCAAAGTGTTGAAAGTTGTTGCCGCCACACATAACCGGCCGATAGTCTGCGGCATAGACCGATCGATCCTGCAGACTGTCGTGCACATAGCCCATGCAGTAGCATTCGTTGGTGTTGCAGGCGGCCGCCTTTGGGGGGCTGGGACAGCAACCCATGCGTGCAGGTGTGTACAAGGGACAGCAGCCCTGACGGGGATCGCAACAAGTCACCGCGCATTTCTTGCAATTGGCAAGGAAGCTCTCAACATCCACGCAGTTGACGCCAGCGTTTTGATTTTGATTGTAATTCCCGGCTTCCACTGCCGGATTTGCAGCCGCTGACTGCAAGCCAGATATGATGGAACCCGTTTGAATATTAGAAGGTCTCTTCATGCCTTTGGTCTTTGGTCTACTAACACTCCGTGTGGCATCTTCGGGCGAGGTATTGCCATCCATTGGATCAGAAGTCGTCATGGGCGGATAAAAATAATAATAAGGCTGACAAGCTGGCTGTTCTTCGGCAAGAGACTCTTCCGAACGGCTCATTGCTGTGCCAGCTTTAGGTTCTGCATTTGCAAACCGAGCAGCAGCCACATCGGCATTGGATGCCTCATCATAATTCCTGTACGGATCGAATTGTAAATCCTTGGGATTGGGGCACTTACTGCACCGACAGTACAACGTATAGGGATCGTAGGACTGCATCTTGACGAATGATTCATTGCGATATTCAGTGCCATTGCTAGTAACGATTGTCAAATTGTTGTGCTCATTGTAATGATTCGTTTTTCTGTCCGATTCGGCAAAGTCAAGACTCTGCTGTGATTCGCTGTAGTTGGGATTTTGTTGCGAATAGACGGGATTTTGTTGCAATTTGGGCAAGCCGCCATAGGATGGGTTTGCTTCGGATAAGCGACGGGTTTCTCGTGGCATAGGATAGACGGGGTTCTCTCGTGGTTGAGGATAGACGGGGCTATGTCGTGGTTCAGGATAATCTTGGCTCGCTCGTCGTGGCTCAGGATAGTCTTGGCTCTCTCGAGGTTCAGTATAGACTTGATTCTCTTGAGTCTCCGGATAGACTTCCCGAGTTTCGGTAAAGACAGGGGCTTCTCGAGTCTCAGCATCAGGATAGACAGCGGTTTCTCGAGTCTCAGCATCGACAGGGGTTTGTTGCGACTCGGGATAGCTCTGATTTTGTTCTGGTTCCGAATATAGCCTGTTCTGTTCTGGTTCTGGTTCCACATAAGAGTATTCTGCACAGTTCACGTATGCTTTCTCCTGCCTACAACCAGCTATTGGACACAAAAGTAAGCTAGGGCCGGTCCTTTGGAACTATTTAACGATCTACTCACATTTACACTTGTTAAATTTACACAGGCTATTTGAATATTTACTGAATGGATTGCGACCTGAAGCAATGCGTGGGTTGGGTTGATCATACTGGAGGCTTGAGCTGCTGCCCACGGACTTCGCATGCTCAAGATTGTTTTGCTCCCTGGCTTTGATGGTTGTTGTGGTACCTTCTTCCTGGCTTAATGTTAAATTCAATATACTATTGCTTGGTCCTATGAGCGTGGTAACATCACAAGGATTCCATTTCGAAGCTTGACAATCGTTTTGATGGCATTCTGTCTCTTTGCCATCGTTTTGATTGCGGAAGCCTTCAGTTTGTCTTTTCCTCAGGATGGATGTGGGTTTCTTTTTGGGTTTCGGCGGTACTAGGGTGGGTCGGTAGGTCTTGTAGAGATCATCGAAGGTTTTGATTGTTCTCAATGTGTGTACATCCGATTCATATTCCTCAGAGCTGAGTGTTATGCGGTGATTGGAGACCGCCATTGCAGGTTTACCTTTCAGTTATTGGGCACATTCCACGAATCACACACAGAAAACAGGGGACAAATACTCGGACTACAAAATTTGGGCTTGTCTGGTTATCGAAATAATGAGAATTTTTAAGAATGGTTTACTACGATTTATAGAATCAACTTTTCCTTAACAAAATTCTCGGAGCAGTTGAGATGGACAAAAAGCACGGATGCCGCCAGACGCGCCTGCAGCTCCTGCTGGCTCAGATCGTGCGACCACTCGACGCGTCCCCAGAACTTGATCTGATACTCCTCCTCCAGGCGGGCCAGTGCCACGGCCTTTTCCACGGGCAACATCTGCTCTATGACGGCACAGGCCAGCACAACCGATTTCAAAGTATCCACAGCATACACAAAGCCTGTGGATGGTAGATCTAATAGTGCAGGTTTCCAATCATAATTCTCTATCCTCACCGTGCAGTGTCTCCAAGCTGTAGGATTGAAAATGTTTCGCCACCTTCACCTTATCGGCATCGGTTATGTGGGGCGCCGTTATGTTCATCGTTTTCTGTAGATTCGTCTCGAAACGCTGATTGAACCAGTCAATCACTGGGTCCCACTCGTTCTTCTGCAGCTCCTGTAGATCTTGTTCGTCCTGAAAGCAGTCATATTTAAACTAAGTCCATGGATCTTCCCGCCGGAATCTTACATCATACTGAAACAGCACCGTATCGGTGGGCATGTAGTTCAGCAGATAGTTGACCATGTCCAGTTTGTTCAGATTATTGGGATTATCAATGGCTGTGAAGCACAGCGCCGACAAGTGCATGCGCGATCGCTCGATGTGCTCCTTTTGGCTGTCGAATTCCGTGGCCACGGCAATGGCCAGAGGTTCGCTCTTGACGGTAAATGGTGCGCCCTTTGGTGTCTTGAGCTTTCTGTGATCCAGCACCACCTCGTAGCCGCCGTCGGTGCACAGCACAGATGTCTTCTTGTAGAATCTTTTGGGTGGCGCAGCTGCAAAGAAGTGCCGGGTTCTGGTTATGAAATAAGGACCGAGCGTGTTTGGCTGCCGCTTACCGTAATGCCGCACTGTGTTCAAAGCGGGCACTTGCCATTTGTTGGGGACGCTCACTCTTAGTGTTCTAAGCGCACTTAACATTAGTTTTGTAGTCATTTCTATTTAAATTAAGGGGTTTTAAGCTTTTGGTTTATTTTATTTTTAATTTTTTTTTTGGTATTTAATCGCTGCCGCGAAATTGGATGGTTGCACGACGATAATTTCTGTGTGTTGACAATTTAGCCATTTTCCAACTAGATCTTTAGCTTTTTTTAATTGCCAAATGCGGGATAAAGCCTAGTACTCAGATCGAAAAATATATTTTGCTAGCAGCAGAGTGTGACCAGAGGTTAAAACCGCATTCCGTACGGTTACACTTCTCAAGCAGCTGTGTTGCTTTGTTTACCTCTTTGAAAATGTGTGAAAAATGAAAAAAAGGTTAATAAAACAGTGAATGCAAAATGGATCCATGCAGGAGATTGCTTTTAGTGGGATTGGCGGCTCTTGCATGATCGGATTAGGAGGACAATCAGCGAAATAAGCGCCGACAACTTTGATTAAAGCCATATCTGCAGGAAAGAAACCAGAACGGTCGTTTGTCCATACATTTGAGTATTATAACTCATATAAATATGTGTAAATTTATGGAAACCCATGAAACGATACCCTTTGCACATTCCGCAGTTTGAAAATACGACAGAGAATTTGCATATGGCTGGGAATAACATCTACAGACTTCCTTGATTGGTGGAGCAGCAAGGCCGTGCCAATGAATATTTGCGCCCGTTGCAAAGTTGTAAAACGGCGCCTCTAAGCACCCTTCCTATTCAACATTGGATAGTTTCGAGCCCAGATTGTGGAGCAGTACTTGGTCCCAAAAGGAAAACAACTTAAAACCTTTTGTTAACAGCCCAGCAGGGTCTGCGTCTCGGCAACATGAAGATACTGGCGTTCATTAATCTATAATAATTGTATCCTTTTTTGCTGTTTGATGGCCTTAAGCTCGTTTAGAAGCACGGTGGTCATTTATCTTTCAACTTCAGCGGCATTGTTGCCTCCATTTGATTGGGACTTTACTCTCTATTTGCTAGGTACCCTCTCGGAAATTAAAACAGATCTGTATTTGGGATCGAGCTGATGGCAACATACCAACGAATACCACACAAATACCATCAATACCATAAAATACTATCGTCTGACTTTCTAGCTTATTTCGGACTGTTTTTTTGTCGATCTGAGTACTGCCTGGCGTACAGCCGCTAGAAAGTAACTTGGGCGCCAAAAATTTCCAATCGTTTCCATGCGAATATCATCCCTGATAAAATAGCGGGTAGCGGTAATTATAGCTATTTTAAAAGATATCTTTGCGTTATTTTAGTTTTTCAAAACATAACAATTATTGTTATGCTTTTTACTTAAGTACTTTGTAGTATTGTTTCCATTTGAGCGGCAAAAATAAGATCGATAAAAAGATCGATCAAAAGAGCATTTAATTGAAACGAGTTTTATACCATCACTGAGGAAGTATTTCAGAAGAATCGAGTTTTATACTATCACTGACGAAATATTTCACAATTGTTTTAATCGTTCGCGAGAGTTAAGGCCAAAAATTTGTTAAAAAATATAAGTGTCCAGAAATTTTAATTTTTCAGAAATTAAAATCACCCCAGGAAGAGAATGGTTCTAATTTGCGAGATTCTGCTGTTAAAATAGCGTTTTTGTGCTTCCATATATTTCTAGCTTATTTTAAAGGCTAGTTTAGCTTTAATGACCCGAATAGTTCGATATTTTTATATTCGGTGTTTCTGTCGATATTTGTTGATGCGTCTTGCTATCGATGATTGCTGATAAGGGCGGGCAATGTTCTTATAATTTAAACAATATGATGCAATATGTTTAAAGTGTGGACGCGTGTAAGAGTTTAACAAAATATATAGTAGTGAAATGGATTGATGTGTACGTGTAGGTGTGGGTGTGTATTGCAACAAACGGTTGCCTCAGAAAGTAGGAACAACAGAAGGTTGCTCCTCAAGGTGACTTCCGATGGCACCGAGTTAACCGAGTTAAAGTGTTCGATTCACAGCTCCAAATTAGCCTCATTAATAAATTTGGCCAATTCTCTAATAAAGAAGAGGCTCCTTTGTGAGCAACAGCTCCTTAAGATCTTTAAAGCGATGAACAATTTTATATTTTTTCCTAATAATAGCATGTCGTTGGCAGGAGAAGATTTCATGTTCCGCATTGTCGAGAACGTTGCAAACTTCGAAAGTGTTGGTGTTTCTGGCTTTGATTTTGTGTAAGCAAACGTATCATAGGTTCGATTAATAAACAGTCTATTTATGACCTTTGTGTTTTTTGCACTCCATTCGAGAGCCCAGTGCCATGGTTTGACATAAATTCCTTTGGTTTTTGAATGGTTGTCAGCTTTAAAGACTTTAGGCTAAAAGTAGTTCTCTGACTGTGAGAATTTTCTCTCTCGCTCCGTGTTTGGGAGGTAAAATACCAGCCAGAGCAAACATCAGATGAGTAGATGTTTTGAGAGGTACTGGGTGTTCAGATTCGAAAAACTAGTAACGGCATGTTCCTGCTGATATCTGATGAAGGATTGGGTTTGAGTCCCGCTTCGATGGTAGTTACAGCATGCAACAAAAGCTCAATTTTGTCTGATTTGTCCCTGATTTTTGCAATGTGCAGGTTGTCTGACATGTTGGCACTAATGAACCTGCCTGAGAAGGTAATTGACTACTTTATTGGGAAAGTTATATTATTGCATGTAACTGAGGATATCACGTCTTCCCCTGCTGCAAAACATAACTGAGGACTTGCTGGGGTTGAAAGTAAGGCCTAGATCTTGACAGAGAAGATGAAAGTCGTTGATCTTTTGCTAGCATCATTTATGTTGTTACCTGTTGAGATGGTGTCAAAGCCATCTGCAAATTGAACAATGGACGTATGTGAATCAGTGTACAGATTGAAAAGTAGAGGTGAGAGACAGGAGCCTTGAGGCAAGCCACCATTCCAGTCAGCATATTGCGTGGGAATGTGTTCCTATTTGTAGAGTTTGCAACGAATTTTCCCCTTTTTTTTCTCACAGGCCATGGTATTGATGAGATCATTTATGCACATGGCTGCTGACTTACCCTTTTGGTAGGCATAAGATTGAGATATATATATAGATATGGAAATCCTTACCCCTCTTTGGGATGGGCATGACTTTGATTGTACGCCATTGACCAGGGACTCTACATTCTGTAAATAACCTGCTGTATTCTTGTAAAAGATTATTCAGTGCTGGGCTCCTGAGGGCTCTTATCGTGTCATATGTAATTCTATCTATTCCTCCCGCAGTATTTCTGCCCCTATTGAGAACAGCAGACAGGTCACTTAACTCAAAGGGATCGATGTTGAGTGAAGCTGGCCCGACAGAGACTCAAGGTAAGGCAAGGACCATTCTGCATCAAAGCTGCAATTTACGGGATCATTAAGGACTCAATGTTTCTCAAGAAAAGCCAGGCTTGAGCGTTTCTTTTCGCATGTATTACTGCCTTCTTCCATTCTACTTTCGGGTTAACCGCCTTTATGTAGTTTGTCAGACTTGGAGCTCTTTGTGCCCGGATCTGGGCTTCGGTATGTTTGGAGTACAACAGTTGCAATTCTGGATTCCACCAAGTCTTGGGGCATCTATTGTTGCTCAATGAGTAGGTTGTTTGTGAAGCTTTCTGTGATGTTTGCAATGTCTCCTGATGGCGTAGCACCTGTTAGCCTGGCAAGGAAGAACTTGGGCTTCTCTTTGCACTCCGGAATTTCTATGGAAATAGGATGATGGTGGCTGCCTCCAACAAAAACATTATCGCTGCAGTTTCAACACTGAGCCCCTTTGACACTTTCCATCGTTCAAACAATTATAACCGGAGTTACGCATGTAGTTCTCTAGGAATCTACCCTTGGCATGGGTAGGTTTGAATAGCATCTTGAAAGGTGTTAGTCTTCGTGTGGGGTTCAAAGTAGACTGAGACAATGGCATTGACAACATCGTGCTCTGAACTAAATGCTTCCTTTCTAAGTGTCTTAACGGTCAGGGAAATCCTCTCCTGTGTCTTAACGGTCAGGGAAATCCTCTCCTGTGTTTATTTTAGTGGTTTTGTTTCTATCGAGATATGCCTATCGGTAAGTACCTGGTGTTGTGCAACGAATTAGAAATAGAGGGCGCCAGGGTGTCTCGCCTGGCATCTCGTGCTGCGATATTTTTATGAAACTCATTTTTGAATTCATTCTAGTTGTGTGCATTCGGTCTTTTGATTTGTAAGTAAGAAATATGTATCCAAAACGAGCATTTAAAAAGAGATCTATTTTCTAAACTAAATCAAGGAGGGTTAAGTGGATTAATTATGGTATTTGTTGGTATTTTCTGCACCTAGCTTGCACTAGCCGAGAACTCACACATGAAACCCAAAAATGAGCTAGCAGCGTTCAACGGGAAAAATTTTTCAAATAATAATCATAGACCGACTAATATTATATATACAGTGCTGAAAGTAATAACAAGCTGGTAATATTATACATAATATCAAAATTGACTAATATGTTATAGGATATACTGTATATTTATGGTATATTTTCAAAATGAGATGGTATATTTGAGTATATTTTTACTCATTCACAATAGGACAAATTTACAATTCACAATGGGACTAGTTTTTGTTTCCCAATTCCGTTGTTTTATCCAGTCTGTTTTCCACCGCCATTCGTCACCCATTCTTAGTTCGTTCATGCTTGCACAAAAACATGAATAAAACCAAAATGCGTGAAACAGCTACTAGTGTCGCATTTTTTTCTGAAATCAGAAAAGTCCGTTGAGCTGTGTCGTGCAAAATATAAAATTTGAACAATTACAAATAAAGCATTCTCCCCACTCGGTCGTCGGTCGTGGGTGGCGCATACAATTCGTTTCTGTGGCCAATTAAATTGCAAACGCCGAGAGAAATCGACTGCTAAAACTAAAGAAATACTTAATAAAGTGACTAAAACATAAGAAATCCCAGCGAGTCCGGGGTTTTGTTGGTAAGAAGCAGCTGAATTTAGCGTCGCAGCACAGCGTCGTTTTACGTGCGTGTGTGTTTTGTGTGTCCGTGCGTGGGTGTTGGTGTTGGTGTTTGTGCCCAGCCTTTTCACCAGAAAAATGCTAATTAAAGTGGTGACATCTGAAACAAGCCTAGAATTCTATGCCATGCAAAAGTGTTTAGTTTGAAAATTTTAAACAAGTGCGAAACAGGAAAATCCAAATTGCGTTTTCGTTGAAGGGGAGGTGAAGAAGGGTGTTCATCTGCCACTCTCTCACTCACACACTCTCTTTCATTCATTCTGCCTGCCTGCCTGGCTCTTTCTCTCTCTCCTCTCCCGAAACGCAAAGTGGAAGTGGAAAAACCAGCAACAACAACAACCACGACAACAAGCGAAGAGTGTGTGGCTGTAATCTTTTTTTGGCAATAGTTTAAACTTTTATCAATTAAAGTTTAACTTTTCTTGAAAACAACAAAAGGTGCCTAAAATACTATGCAAAAACAGCAACAAAACGTACAAGCGACGCCCAAAAGGGGAAAGAGAGATAGACATAGAGAGAGCAGAGGCAGCGCTGCCACCTTGTTCGATTTTTATGCTCATTGAGAAGTGGAATTGACGTACGTAGTCGCTGCCCTTGCACAAAGAGTACAACTATTTTGATGAGCAGTTTGCCAATATGAAAGAAATAAACATTTTCTGCTCCATTGATTAATATATTCCTGTTCGTAATGATCTGCGTCTCTTTTTCTGTGAAAGTGTATTATTTTAGTGGTCACCACCATAAGAACAATAGTTCGGCAAGTGCATCAACACTTCGGTGACTCAAGGTTACTTTTCTCATTTCTTGTTGCTGTTTCTATCGCATTGCATTTTTAATTTGCGTCCCCGTCTTCCTGTTGTTGTTGTTGTTGTTTGTTTGTGCAAAATACAAAAAGTAGTGTGTTTTAATATTTGATTTTTGTTTGTCAACGTTTCCCCCTTTCCATACAATCAGCTGCTGCTCGTAGCGACAACGTTACCGCCCACAAAACGGGAGTATTGTGTGAACATTGTTCGTGTTTCGTCTCTCTTTCAAATACAAGGTGAGTTTTTGCACAGATAACCGTAATTGTAATTATACAATGTTTAGGGGAAAGGGTAATAATAGGTCTTGTCAAATGAGAGAGGAAGTGCTGGTGGGGGAAAGATGTGCACGTTTGATTTCATGGAAGATTCTGAAAGGTTTTTTGTAATTCTTAAAATACGATTTCATTCTTTGATCAGTCTTTAATCATTTTGTAATCAGTTTTATTATAAAATACGAATTATCTCATCTATCTGTGGTCGCTCCTACCATTTCGTATCTCTTTTAACGTCTAAATTTGTATTCAAAACCCCATTCATCCCATGGGAGCATCTTACAGAGATGCGGAGGCTAATTTATTATGCTTGCCAAATCCGCAAAGCAAATTCCCGCGTCACATATGCGATGAGGCACTCAATCCTGGCGCTTAACCCCGTAAAATATGTTCATCGGACGAGTTGCCTAAAAATAGCGCAGCAACAGCAGGGAAAGAGCGGGAAGTGGAAGGCTCATCTGGGGTTTTTGGCCTGCTCTGCAGTCCTTCCTTTGATGGGGATTTTGGGCTGCTTTGCAGCCCTTCCTGCGTTGACGTCCCTTTTGCCTTGGGGCCCTGTCTGAGCCTCTAAGCCCGTAATGAGCAATTCCAAGGAAGTACGAGGCACCGAGCATTTCAATTTTCGTGCACCCAAAACGGTTGTCAAGTGCGAAAATTGTTTGCCATAATCAAATCAAATCAAATCAGCGCCAATCAGAGGGTTGGCAACCCTGAAATTGCCCGCTCGGGATTGGGACTTTCCGTCTGCTGATGGAGGAGAGAGAATGCTCGGTATTCGTAATGATGGTGGTGCCGGGTTCTAATGAGGATGCATTCAATTAGATTCATATTTTTCCACATTCCATATGTGGGTTGGGTGCTACAAATATGGAGACAGTTTGAGTGTTTAAAGTATATTTTTTTTATGTTAAAAGGGAATTTAATGTGTAATTTAGATAAGTTATGTGGTTTAGTTTATAGAATAGAATTGGTTTAAAGAATTCTTGCGCTTTGTCAATTTTTTAGCTAACCCCCATCAAAGAATTTTCTGGGTATTGCCGGAAAATAACAATTTGTGGACATGGTTTCTGGTGACCGACAGCCTTGGACCCGATTTTCATTCGATTGTCGCAATAAAATTTGCTTAATGGGTTTGCTCTCAAATGCTTAAATAACAAACGCGAATTGCCATTACACAGATACACTTTTGATACTTTTGATTCATCAAAGTAATGCAGTTCGAGAATTAAATCCTTTGCGACTAATGAGCGGGTGGGTTCAAAGCACTCGAAGAGTCAGCCAACCCAATTCCCAGGGCTAGTTAGGGAGAAGGAATCGTAGAAGAAAGAATTATAGAAAATACAGAGAGAGAGCAAACAGAGAGAAAGAGTGGCAAAGCAGAGGGGTGAGGTGAACAAGAGAGTGAGGAGGGGAGAGCTCACCGAACCAGTTGGACGGCATTTGGCGATTTGAATGTCGCGTTAGAAGATGGAAAGCAAACCCCCAAACAATTCTCATTTTATGAGCCCGCAATGTATCCAATGTATCTGAGTGTCTTTCACTGCGCGTAGTTGTATCTGTAACTGTAAATGTATCTGTGTGCAATTCAAGTTCAAAGCGCCTTCGCTGAAAGAAACTTGCCAAATAAAACCCAAAACGAGATACAAAAGACGGAGAATTGAGGGAGAAACAGACACAGGAAATATACAAAAGAACAGCTGGAACATGTCTCTCCTCTATAAAGAAAAGATACAGATACAGATACTTGTCTGATATTTTCTTTCTTTTCTTTCGTTCTCTCTTTTCTTTTTGCGCAGAAAAGCTTATATTTCTTGTGAAATTTTCTGTATTTCTTTGATTTGTGATGGAACCCAAAATATATATATAAATAAAACCAATATAAAGTAGGGAACGGTACGTACCGGGGGTATGTGCGTGGGCGTGGATTGTTATGATAATTGAACAAGTGGCTTTCTTTTCTCTCGATTTTTTGACTGAAATAAACATACAGAAATATTTTTATATGCAAATGTAAGACAATTCATATGCGGAGAAATGTATTTCAAGTTAAAATATTAAAATTGTGTAAATGTGGATCGGGGAAATGTTGAAACAATTTGATTTCCAGTCTTTTCATATTTCAAGTTCAATTTTTAAAGATTTCCTTGTAGAAATTATACTAAAACTAGTATTTTTCTTGCTTTAAATACATATGTACGTACTTAATCCTAAGCTCTTCTAAACCAATCTCTTATCCTCCTTATAATTTCTTTTATGTGTCTCATTCAATCCTTTGTAGGGGTCTCCCTTAAGGGGCACCTTCTCCACATCGTAGTGGGGCATTCTTTCATTATCATCCGAGACCTAAATACATAAATCGTTGCTCTATCATCATCATTATCATCATTATGCACGCCCCGAACACACATCATCTTTTGCTTGTGGCATGTGGAAAAAGTGTTTCCGACTTCCGTATAAATGTTACATTTTTCCTTCTCTCTGCTTTTTGCCTCTCTGTGCCTCAAAGGCAAAAACAAGTCACTTGGCATTTCCTGACCATCAAGGAAACCCACCCAATGGCACTACGCACCACCGAGAGCTCCTATGTGAACCAGCAGAAACCACTTCGAACCACCTAAAACCACCCCAAACAACCACAAACAACTAAAGTAAAGGAACCAACAACTTATTGATTTTCTACAACAACTTTGTGATGTTTAAACAGCAAATTAGTTAAGTTTTTCCATCCGTGTGCCGTCCACGCGTCAAATGAGTTTTTCTTCTCGGGGGGTAGAGTGCCACAACACACAATTTCACTCCACCAATCTCTTTCTTTATTCACCTGTGGGCGACACGCCTGGTTTGGTTCCTGGAATTGACGCGTGCCACATGCCTCGTGTGCCACACGGACAGGTGTAACAACTTCGGGGGTTGACATGTAAATTACATTAAAAAAAAAATACACGAGAATTTCGAACAAGAAAATTTGATAAGGTAGAGATACCTGGCATGAGCCATCCATAGGGGTCTGGTCTGTGGTATCCGTAGTAAAATCAATTATTTTTGTTTTTGTGGGTCAACATTCCTCCTGCCAGTGTGTCCACCCTCCCTGCCTTCTCCTTCTCCTTTTCTGTTACGTTTCGTTGAACAATCTGCCCATTCTCTCTCCCTTTTAAAAGTTTACATCATTCCCCAAAAAAAAAAGGGGGCGATGAACTTTAAGACCGTTTACACTGCACTACAAGATAGACAGAAAGACGGGTAGCCACGCCACTCTTCGAAGTCCTACACTCAGCCTCTAATTTGCATATTTGTGCATTTCCTGACCGCCTTTGTTTCGGTTTTGTATTTTGTGTACCCTAAAAGAGGGGCAAGGTTTTATGGGTTTAAGGAAAAGACTTAAAAACGGAGTAACGGAACGATTTGTGAACGATTTTCGATCTCCAATGGTAATTTCTACCTTACATATTCCCATAAAAAAGTTCGCTCTTCCAGGGTGTCATTGGAGCCGTTCTCTACAAACTTTGCTTTACTTTCGTGCTTTTTTTCTCTCGTATTTTATTGCATTTTTGTGTTGATTTCAGTTTATTTTTAGACTTTTGCGGTTGATAAAAAATGTACTTTCAAAGAGTGGGAGGGAGACAGAAATACCAACAGGGAGTGGGGGAAGAGGAAAAAATACTATCGAAGTGTTGGTAAGGCGGTAGAGGGGCTAGCTAGCTGTGTCTTCTTTTATTTCTTCGACTACTTCGTCCGCTTGTCGACGGCGTTACGCTTGGCTTGTGGGGTGGGGGGAGGAAGGCAGCTATGCGCGGGTGGTCAAGGAAGGGGGACGCGTGCTAAGGCCTCTGGTTCCGGTCCAGAGAGGAGGAGGGGACACAACTATTATATCATTTTTATTTTAGTTGTCAGTTATTTCATCATGATTTTTTTGGGGGGGATTTGATGATGTTTAAAGAACTTTTTTCGATGAAAGAGTAGAGAAGAAAAGACACTACTGTCTTTTCTCTTTTAGTTTTTATTTGCTTCATTAAAGGGTAATAAGCTTTTCCTCAAAAAACTTATTTAAACCTATTAATAATATATTATGGATGCTTTGAAGGTTTGATACGTCTCTTATTCGTGTCTTAAATAAATTATTAAAGACCTAAAATAACTGATTAAAGGTATTAAAATAACTTTTTTACTTGTAATTAATGTACCATTTTTTAATTGTAATTAATGAACCATTTTTATTTTAGTTGGCAGTTATTTCATTATTAAAATAACTTTTTTACTTGTAATTAATGTACCATTAAGTTGTTTTAGTGTACTTCCGTTCTGATTCATTGATAACTTTTTGCCTTTTCCTCAGTTCACTTTTCATGAATACTTTATTCATTTCTTATAAATAAATGCATGTTGTGACTCATTGAACGCATTACTATAAATGCTTTTATCATTCTTATGTGACATACATAAATGTTCGTAGTTTCCTCAAACAGAGCGGAAATACATATATGTTGTAGTTGTGTAATTATGAAATTAAAGGAAGATAAAATCATTATAATGAAAATGGTTGCCAAGAAGACCTTTTTCGAGTCTTAAAGGTATTGATACTGTTGTTAATATAATTTATAGTTGGTTGAAACCAAGAATACCTTTGGAAAACAAACAGAAAACCATAAAAATCTGTTTATTTTCATCCTATGAAAGGGTTTTGTTCGATGAAGATTATACTAAGGCAGTTTTAGCATATGCAACCCCAAGATTACTTCTATTTCATTTGATTTTATTAACAAAAAAAAACAAGCTAAAAATTACCTTCATTTTGTTTCATTTCTGATTCTATTTAATTTGAAAACTCTTGACTCTGAAAGATCTATTCATCAGTGGATAGTTTTTGGTTTTGGTTTGTTTCACTAATTATTGATTATCCACCCATGCTCTTTGGGTACCCTTCCTCTATTGCGTACTCTGTTTCATGCTCTGTTTCTTGTTTCTGT